ATATTCAGCAAATTCTTCTGAAATGTATTCGCCTCCATTATCTGATCTAAGCTTCTTTACTTGTTTTCCAATCAGTCTTTCAGATGACTCAACAAATTCTTTAAATTTATCCAGTACTTCACTCTTCTTCTTTAGCATGTACACAGTAGTGTAGTGAGTACAGTCATCTATGAAGGTGACAAAATACCTTGAACCTCCCACTGAAGTGACATTCATGGGACCACACACATCACTGTGTATGAGTTCTAAAGGCTGAGTATTCTTCTGTGTACAGTTCTTTGAAAATGGTTGGCTTTTTGTTTCCCATAGGCACAGCCTTCACATTTTCTATCAGTTTGCTCATTTGGTTTCCAGCTCAGCCCATCTACCATAGATTTGTTGTGCAGCAGCTTCAGGTTGTCATAACCAAGGTGTCCATAGCGATAATGCCAAAGTGCATTGTCATCATTTGCAACAGTTGATCCAAAACAGCATGATTTCTCGGGATCTACATTCAATTTATACAGTTTTCCATGCTTGTGGCCAATACTGTATACATTGCCATTGATGATTATCTTGCAATGTTGACCTTTAAACTGCACTTCTGCATCTTTGTCAGTGATAGAAGGCAAAGATAGCAAGTTTTTCTGTATTTTTGGTACGTAAAGTACATCTTTCAGGGTTGCATTCACCTTGTCTTTGCCATCATACAAAACAAGCTGCAATTCCCCTTTTCCATAAGCAAAAATTACAGTATCATCAGCAAGCTTCACTTCTATTGGTTTCTTGAATGGTGTATATCCATACATCCCCTTTTTAACAGGGGTCATGTGCTGTGATGCCCCCGAGTCTATCCACCAGTCATCTTTATCTGATGGAGTATTACCCACAGCTAACGCAATCTCAGTTGCTGTTTCTTCATTTACCTTGCCATTTTCTTGTTTTGTTTCTGCCATACTTGCTGATACGTTCTTGGGGTTATTTTTTGCATCAGCTTTCTTTTTAAAGCAATCCCTGGCAAAGTGTCCGGGCTTTTTGCAATAATGGCATTGAAATTTCTTGCAATTATTTATTTTCTTGTGTTCTGTTAATTTCTTTGTAAATAATGCATCTTGGCACGCCTCAGCTTTTGGAGTACTCACTGTCCCTTCACTTCCGCCCTGCATTTTATCATATTCGTGAATTAATCTGTCACGAACATAGTTCCAACTCAATTTCTCTTCAGCAATTGTTTCTAGAGCAGTGATCAAATAATTGTATTCCTCAGGTAGACTGCTTATTAAAATGATAACCAAATCTTTTTCAGCTATTTCGTCATCCACTGCTTCCAAATGCTCGGCAAGTGTTTTAATATAATTTATATGGTCGATCATTTTCGCTCCTTTTCCCATTCGTGCAGAATATAGCTTCCTGCGGTAGAATATTTTTTGTGATAGCGATTTTCGTTCAAAATGTTGTTCAAGATTGTCCCAAGCTTCTTTAGCATTCTTAGCAGAT